TCATCACATAGCCCGTCGTTAGTAGGTGAGTCAAACTAATTGCTGGGCAGAAATAGATCGAAGGCGGACACACCACATCAAAGACTAGAGTCCCTACACTTCATTCCGATGTTGTTTTGAAGCAATTCATCAACGAAATGCTCATTTGAACCACACCTCGAAAATAACGTTCCATCCTGCTTCTCCTACGAATGATGACAAAATTTCCCCCAAGGAAACTGCGAAGGCAGCAAAACACAGAAAACACTGCAGTATGAGCCAAAAGTTGGAGTTTAAGCAAAAAACATTGACGGAGATGGCCAAGTCCGACTAGAAAAAAATGACAAGTCCATGATGAAATCATTGTGGAATAGTAGTTATCAAAAGTAACGGTTGAATAACGGTAGCGCCCTCGTCCGGAAAGCATGAGGTAGGGCCGGTCTGAAGTCAAGGCTTTGTCCGTTTCTCAGGATTCTTGTATAAGTACTGAAGATTTCTCGGGTGGAGGTGGAAAGAGATGCAGCCCCATTTGTTTGACAAGGCAAGCTGTAAGGGAGCTCCAGCTAGATTATCATGTCTTCCATATGGGACAGGTCATTAACTGTTCCTCGAAAAGAAAAAACTCTGGTTTACATGGCGTCTAGCACTCGGTTCGCCCTGATTCCTTTGGATTTGTCACACACACATTCAAATGCTTATAGTATATCCATATTCAAGATCGAATACATGGCGCAATTCCGTAGCACATTGGCATGTGGATGATTTCACTACATGACCACAAGTTTCAAAATAGAGTACGATACCACCCCTGAAGTATTAATCCGTCGCAAACTTTCTGTTTGCAAAGGCTAGGGGTGGTATTGTACGTTTTCTGCAAAGTAACTTCACGTACCGTCTACCTACCACTACCGTCCGTGGACCGACTTTTGCCTCATAACTCAGCATTCTCGTGATAACTTCAAATAGTTGAGAACTTATACCACTCACAACCCTTCCAAATCCCTTTTCTCAGAGCACTTAGGAAAATGCACTTGCTTTTCCCACGGCGGCCTCCCGTCTATGACGCATATCGTGCAAAACAACCCCTAATTACCGAAGCTTCTACCCACGTATGACCATAATTTCCTCCAAATGGTGATATATTGATTAGATTCTTCTTAAAGAAAAGGGCATACAATGAATAATTGCGATACTTTAGAAGGCCGGTTTCCGACGAAAAATATTCGATTTGATAATTTCTGACCTGTAGTTTCCTGAGAAATGGCCACGGTGTGAGGTGAGCAATTTTATTAGCTGACAGTCGGAGAGATTCGACGTTTGGTGGTAGGTAAGAAGGTTTCACGGTCTCGATTTCGTTGTTGGAGAGGTCGACGTACCGCAAGGAGGTCAGAGCACTCATATCGGGCATGTACCTAGAAAGAGGTAATTGCAAATGTGGAGATGCTCAAACCATGTGGAGTGTTGTAGCTAAGAACGGAGATGTCAAGCATGTTGCAGAAAACGATGAGATCACTTGGCACTACACCTCTCGCCTGTGAAAACCTCATTTTACTGCCTTCGGCAGAACTCTTCGTAATCTCAGTAGAAACAGAATTTCGATTCTCAACTAAGGCTGTCAAAAATACTGTGGTCGAAAAGTCACTGAAAGAGAAATTAGTCGATTTCTTGAAGTTTTTTTGCATGATTGGTTTCAAGTTTGTAACTTATTGTGTATGAAATATCTTTTTGTGTTGCTCTTTAATAACCACTCTTCATTTGGAGTGGTTATTAAAGTGAAGATTGTGATGGGGTGAAAAATTGTGTTTTATGGAAGACCGTGGGTGAAATTCCGAACCCTTATACAATAAATCGTTCCTCTTCGCAATTACACTTTCTCAGCCATCTATGTCGCTTTCTAAAGATATACAACTCAGAAATCAAAATAGGACCGAAAAAGTTTTACCAACTTTAGGACTCCAAAAACCCGTTCCTGTTCCTGTTTGAACAAATGAATTAAATTTGGAAAGTTGTTCGATATCGAGAAAAGTTACCTTCCAAGTGGTTTTCATTTTATAAGGGTTTCTTTCTAGGATTTCCGATTCGAAATTCGGGTTCATAACCTTCCCACTAACCTTACACTATGGGGCGGAATATGAAACGCAGAAATATACCTCATTTATTGTGATCAATGCTGTTCAACGGGAACATAAATTCGCTGACATTCCGAAACTGACACATTTGCTTTTTTTAATTATGGTTGTCGAAGATGATATAGTGGGTGGGACTGGCCGCTTTTCACGCGTGCGGTCTGGTTTTAATCCCAAGTCGACCACCCAGCCAACCGATCTTTCTAGCGCGGAGACGATAAAGGGTACCATATTCATTTGAGAGGATAACGTCGCTAATTTGCACATCGGTACCAGCTCCCCCCTCACCCACCCAAGTCATCGCATAAAGCGTATCTTATCCAATAAGCCACTGCAAGTTTGAATAGAAGTGTGCAGAATGCGTGCCGCATAACAAAATGGACCAATCGACGGCGAGAGATCAAGCTTTTAAGTTAATGGGAGCATAGGAGGATGCGTGCGTGGGAAATTCCTAATGAGCATCTACAGGGGGAACCGGTTTCATGTTATAAGAAACTTTAATATGTGAAAAATGCTTCGAGACTGAAACACAATTGTCATTGGAGCTGTCGATAAGAACCCGCACAAAATTATACCACCGCACAGAATTCGTAATAATTTTCGCTGCAGTGGCATAGGAGGATTAAAGTTTTGGTATAGCTCAGCCTTGTGCACTAATTCATTTCAAAATAAATGGTTGAGTTGATTTGCTGCCTAGAGGTGAGTTAACGCAGGCTGTTAGTTATGTGAAGATTGTTGGAAGTATCCACAGGGACGAATGGCTGGGAGACTGAGATGGACTAAACATCGCCTTTCCAGTAGCCTCCACTACGCGCGTTACCGTACACTATGTGTTGACTATAGAAGAAAATCATGCTACCTGCACGGTTAGTGTATAGACTCACTCACCCATGTATTCCCACCTAAGTATAATGTGGTTTTCATTCCTCCCGTTGGTCTTCTGCGCTATGACAAGAAGTAAAGTAAATGTAAAGGTAATTTCGGCGCAGTTTTGGTCGACGGGAGGGAGCATTGTTGCTTTCCATAGATGTGTCGGGGACCCATTCTAGGCATGCTGGTTTGTCTCGGAGATGACACGTTTTAGGTAACGGGCTTAGGGGACGATCTCACTTTCAGCTCACAGAGTTTCACAAGTGTTTTACCAAGAGGTGAGATTTGTGAACAGGAATTAGGAAGCAATGATAATAGGAAATGCCCCCCCGTCGACAAAACAGGCGCGGTAATTCTTTGAATGACAAAAGGACCTTTCCAAGTTATGCCTTCGAGATGGCCGGGTTCACAGTGCCAAAACCTTTTACTATACAGATAGCCTTTTACCGGATTTATTACATCTTACCTCCTTGGCAGCCAAGATACTACCTCCACCTCCTGGGCGCACGCCCTGCCTCCGCCACTACTTACCACGATGTGCACAATGCGGGTGATGTTGAATGTGTGGTGTTTTTGAGAGAAGGTTTGAACTCCCTCCTGTTGACAAAAGAGGCTTCTAAATTCGTGCCTGTAACCCAAGTAAGGATCTCTGGCTTAACGTGGCTATGATGTGACGAGGGGAAGAAAAACTAGCCTAAAAGGCCTGATTTAATGGGTGTCGGCGAAGAACGACCAGATGGGTGATACCATATTTTTCGAAGCCAAGGAAGGGACGAGGAGAATCACTAATTGTTTATAGGCAACACTTCCAAATGGCTAACCGAAGATGATCCTTGTCATGTGCGAGGTGAAGGGCTCCACAGCTGCATAGCGTGCCACGTTCTCTTCCCAAAGCACGTGAGCATGTCTTGGAGGGTTACAGATTTACCCGCCGTAATTGTTCGAAAAAAAACGAAAAAAGCGCGGGATTACGCTTTTTTCGTTTTTTCGCTGTAACTCAATTTGGGTATCCCTTTCTCATATGGAATCCTATACCGTTAGACTCAGCTCGTCGAGCTCTATGAGTTGGCATCCAAAAAAATTAAAAAAGTTGAAAAATGAACTCTGCTCCTGGTCGAAGTACCTGAGGACACTCGTTAGCGAGCGAGTCTCGCTATAATTGTAACCAGAGGGTAATCGTTGGAAATCAAATCATCCAGAATTCAAATAGCGTACTGTATGACCTACAGATTGATTAGAAATCGGATAGTTGGAATTTTTCTAAAATTTGTTGCTGATGTAACGGTCGTCAATTTTTCTGAAATTGGCCAGGTTTGCGAGTGTCGTTTTCCTACGAGTTACAGCGAAAAAACGAAAAAAGCGTAGATCCGCGCTTTTTTCGTTTTTTTTCGAACAATTACGGCGGGTATTGTAGTGATACCTGAGTACCGTCTTCAGAATCTTCCGACACTAATCCTCAACGTGCAGGTGGCGCGTCGATTACCGGAAATCCCGCATGAGACATGGCGGCTGTTACCATAGAGAACAACAGGCGAGTGAGAGAACTGCAGACAACTGCGGTGCGCTTGGGCTATGGTTTAGGGGTCTGTCTAGGTTGGCGGCTTCGGGACGGGCGGAGCAGAGAATGAGGACTGCTACCGTATGTAGCTTCCCTTCTACTGTTGCCTTGGCTCTTTTGAGCGGAGAAAAAGGCACAAACAGTTGCGGGAAAGTAAGTCTCCGCCACATGGCACAAACAACGCGTCCTTTGGAGGTTAAGTACAAGTTGGTCTTCAGCTTCAGAGCGCAAAGACATTTTGAGCTGAACCTCACAGTGAATTGAATCTGCTCAACTTGTAGGGCAAATCCATTCAAGAACCTGAGGACAGCTTACTAGGTATCAGGGTTGTAAAGGCAATGGGATCAACGTCTGAGTTTTTTGTTTCCTATGAAGGCTGCTGGGTGGAATAATGAAAGCGATCTGACATTTGAGAGGAACATTCTTCAAGGCCGCAGTTCTACGCTTGAGGTGAATCAGCCGCCCCAAGCCACTAGGCCTATTTGGAACATTACAGAGATGGGATGAGTGAGGAGCTTTCTGTGAGAAGCAGACTTAAACGTCGGTTGTAAGGGGAGGACATCAAACGTGGTTGAGGCAACTCTTTCACAATAACAATACCAATACGCATGACTACAACAGGCTACTGTTCCAAGTGATCCGTCAAAGGCAATCTGTACCAGATTTGGTGAAAAACTATTAGGTCATTCCATTCAAAAGTGCCGTGACATATAGAGGAGTGGCAGAAAAGCAAAGGGGGATAGGGCACAGAGGAGCGACCCTTCCAATTCTGGAGCTATACCTCTAGCTGTCCTGTACTCTGTGAAATTTGGCGAACATACCCACAGAGGAAGTTGTCGAGAAATCGAAAAGAAGCCGAGTGGTGAAAATCAGCGCCGGATTTTCAAATCAGACGTCATAAGAGGGCAAGCGCGCTGGCTCAAACTTCGCCGGCGGCCGGCAGTAATTTGTGTGAATGGAGTTCTAAATACAAGGTGGATGGTTTTGGTCAGTGAGCCCGAAGAAGAGAAAGGGAAAAATTTTGTTTGTGGTGGGATGCGTCCCTGTTAATGATTCATCTGCCACAAGAAAAGGGGGATGAGTCCAAGACAGGTGGATGTTCAGAGGCTGGCCTTGTCCGAAGCGTTTACCCGCTTGGAGTTGGACATTCAAGCTGCAAATGCTTGCCCGAGTTATGTCCGTAAAACAGAGGATTGGTCAAGAGGGTAGTGGCGCAGCATGTTGTCAACCTTAATTTTCTTGTTTAGAAAGCAACACAACGCAGTACCTATTCTCTGTCTCTAGCATGAGATCTCATTCCACGGCTGTGAAAACGCATCCCGGCCCTAGATAAAATGTGGGTGGTCTTGAACCCCGAGCCAAAACTCACAGTCGTCAATTTTGTATGAATGCAGATGAGAAGGGCCGCCCGGTTTCTACCATTGAGTGAGTTACGAGGGACAAGAGTGGATGATCATTATAGCGCAGGATCTTCTAGCTTGTGGGCTTTTTTAGCGGTTCTATTACCGAGAACAAATCGGTCGTGGGTCGTTGTATATTGCAGTTCTTCGATAAAACAGATCGACAAATGGCAGTGATTACCAACAGGCTACAGAAGGCCACAGTTGATGCGGTTCGTTAGCTTTGCCAGGAACCCAAAGTATTGTATTGTACAAGGCACAGTGCTGGGACAAAACAATTACTGAGACTGGGTTCAATACCTTTCATTCGCCGATATGAGCTGCATTCCAATGTTTTTGATTGTCCGAGAGTGCTCTTCGGGACGGCAACGTACAATGTTTTGTCATTCGCGCGAAAATGCATATCACACAGATTTATCGCACTCGTTTGAAATTGAGGTGCAAAGGTCTATAAGTTTCTTGGGCCACTGGGAGCAGATCATTGGAGAAAAAGGGATTTACGTAACTCAAAGCCGAAATATTATTTTTTTTATCTATTCTCCTCTTTGATTTATTCGGAAAAAAACCGACGGCGGAACTTTTTAAATGGGATGACCTGAATATATTTCCGTTCTCCGTAGCCAACGAACACATATGAAATGAAGCTGAATTGCCCACTTACCTGAGGGAGTTATGTGCAAGATTCAAGGTGGTTATGGACTTGGGTCCCGCACCGAATGTAATACTTCTCAGCTGGTTTCGAGACAGATCCAGTACACGAATATTGTCAAGTGAGGAGAGAGCCTGAAATCATTTCTATACTAAACCTTCTCACTCACTCAGCTGTCTTCAAAACAGTTCAGATTATTGAAGGGGTATTTGGGGAAATTTCATTGAGAGCCGATTTGACTTCTTTGAAGAAGTCTACAGGAGAGAAGGTTCTAAGTTCGTGGTGTAAATTGGTTGGGTAGCCCGAACATAGACTCGTTCAAGACAATTCGAGTAAGTTACCAAACAAGTCAAGGTCATTTTTTAATGGTTACAAAGCAAACTCGAAAGAAAAAAGCGGCTCTGGAAGGTTGGAAGTCCAGCTGACTCCAGTGGAATTTGATCCACTGGCCGTGATAGTGATAGTGGTAGCAGGTCTTCATGGTACGCATTGTTATATTGTTGTTGAAAACTATTTACAATTTCCAAATGCGAAATGGTATGTAGGCTCACTTTAAAGGCTCAAAGGCAGCGTCCGCGATCAACCAAAGTGAAAAACCCTCCAATGAAAACGAACGCGGAGTTCGCAACCATAGCGGATATCCCACTCTTGCGGCTCGAAATGTATTGATTGACGAGGGCGGAGTCAACAAGGCTGAGCTGACGCCTCCTTCCCTGTTAATCCCGCCCCGACTGGTTAACAGTTGTCAGTGCTTGCTGGCATTGATAAACGCTAAGTTTCTGGAGTTCCGAGGCGGCGATGTGTTGTATTTTGAGGAAACTCCCAAAGGTCTGCGAAAACCGTCCACATGCCTTAAATTTCGTAGGGTCTTATTTCACGCTCTTCCACACCTTTTTCCTACTTTTTTTGATTAGTGCTTCATTGGCCACCTGTTCTAACAAATTTGACCCCTGAGACCTGCCAAAGTCCATCGCGGGCGCTGTCTTTAAGTATCTAGGAGTTTTGGTTGGAAGATCCAAATTTCATTAGTGGTACATGCAGATTGCTAGACTTACCGCGCATTCGATCCGGGGTGAAATCTCATATATAGCCCTATCCGCTCATATCAATCAAGATCTGCTTCCATACCTCCTTGGTCGGTTAGTGAGCACTAGACTTGTCTGGGAGGGTGAACCTTGACGTGTACATCGTCTGGCACCCTGCAGCCGTTGTATAGGCCATATTGCACCCAAAAAACAAGGTGATTGATCAACGCTTGAAGCTTTGATTTAATCTTTTGCAAATGTGGAATTAGTTTTGCTGGTATGTTGGTGACGCTCAATGTCAGTGACTGGAAACCTGGGTCGGAGTTTGCATAAAAATTTCCAAATGAAATAACTAATTCGGGTTCACGTAAATCTCAGAGGGCCAGGTTTGAGACCGCTGAAACGGCTCACATTTGGGACGAACGGGCAGAGAATAACGTTTCCATGTAGCCCAATAGGCCAATCATCCTCTTTCCAGGCCACCGGAAGTGAAGCGCCAACTGGCGGCTGCTCGTCTTGAAAACAGGAAGTATAGGCTCCCATTTTGGGAGAAGAGCGTTTTCAGGGCTAGAAAATCTCAGAAATATTGCGTAGTGTTGGAGGGGCGCCTAAACTCCTTCTTGCAGACTTATAGGTAAAGTAGTGTTTTTACAGACTGACTTCCTTAAATTTTACTTTTTATAATGGAGCTGTTCCGCTGCTAGCTAAATGGGAAAATCTCATACGTGGCAAAATAATTCAGGCAATTTCTGGCTTTCGTTCCTATGCTTACACTAACATACTTTAACGTGGGCAGGGACAGAATATTGAATGCGAGGCCGAGATATAGCTACCGAGAATGATTTCATGAAAACCTATTTCCTAATTCTTGGCGAAGAGGCGAATTTTCCACAAAAGAATGCATTAGTTAAAACAGACTTTTCTTTTCGAGAGACTGCAACAACACTTAATAATCGTTGAAGAGAGGGAAAAGAATTATCAAGGAAAGTAATTCCAAAATATTTGACAGGCGGGTCTTTTGTTTCAGCTCAATTCTGCACTCCACTCTTTCTAAAGCGGCATCGTTTGGGGTGGTTTCAAGAGGAACGCGAAATCGGCCTCGCCTTCTGACGGACATATGGACCGCTATTTGAAACACTTCGATCAGAAGGGCAGGCATTTATTCGTGCGGGCTTTCAAGGGAAAGGCGGACGGGTCGTTGGAGCGCCGTTTGGAAACCACCGAAAGTGCTCGTCGATTGATGAGTAGGAAATGAAGGATGATAAAATTGATGATCAATTTTGGAGATGCGGCCCACGGCATTCAGTTTCTCTTTCAGAATCAGTTAAGCACGTAACCGGTCAGCACAATCGTATGTGCTGGCTAGTTGTGGTTCTTCCAGGTGTAGTTGTCTCAGTCATGCACGGTTCCTCTGCCGTTCATCGACTCTGCAGTAGTGAGATTGGTGTCCTTAGTGGACTTTGAGCTGCCAAGGTGTGGCTCAGACACTTCCTGTTTTTCCGCCGGTCATTAACTAACCTAATAGTAAGAGAGATTAACCAATCGGATCCTGTAAAGACGCCACGTCTCAGATAGGCCGGCATTTTTTGAGCTTTTTAGCTTCTGAGGCTTTTTTTCCAAGTGGTGCCACACCCGCTGTTGTTGACCATCCTCAGAACAACGACTGATGAAGATAGCGGCGACAGTTACCCTTTCAGTGACTGTGGGTACAAGTTTTGACACTGCTTCCCCTTTACTGCCCAACGCTTCAGAATTCAGGCCTTCTGATCGAATTGGTTTGAGGTGTACCTGGCAAGAACGTTCTCAAAACGTGCTTGGCTCCCCGACCATGGGTATCACATCGTTTGGAAGGGAAAAGCATGGCACACGGGCGCTAGCGCCATGTAGTTTTGGAGCCAGCGCCTGTAGCGGAAGCGTTTTCACGCATTGCTGACGTTATTCGTGTTCAGCGGGTCAACGTCACCTAGTACAAGAGCCCAGCCCAACCAAATCTACCCATGCTGACAAATTCCCATCAAAAACTAGCTGGAATCTGGAAAAGTGGACAGCTTCCAGCCGCTGTGCAAGCAAGGAAAAAATTAACTGCCCCATTGCTGTGTAATCGCTATCCCTATAATTTGCATTCCTACGGGTTAGACGAACGAGCCTTCGTTCAAACACCCTTTATTTTCAATGCCCTACTGGAAACTGTTCATAGTTTTCATGCTATGAAAATTATGAATTATATATGACATTGCAATGAAGTATCCTCGCAAAATAGAAAAGTAGACATGAAATGAGACGAACCTGCACGGAAATCTTCCTTATTCCACTGTTTTCAAGCCTCAATGTGTGCAAATAGCTGTAATTTCTTGGGAATCGATCGATTATTGGGAGAGAATTGTGGGCCAAGTTCAGCGAAATCACGTCCATGAAAAGTGAAGGCAATGCTGAGAGATTCAACGATGAGCAGTCTTGTGACGGTCGATTCGAGATCGAATAGCGCCTACAAGGCTGCTGCAGTTGCTGAGAATCGCTAGGAACGATGGCGGTTGCTGTCAGCACATCTGACGTTAGAAACCAGAAGATGTGGATCATCTTCACGATTACATTATCGATCAGTAGAGGTCAGAAGCGGGTGGTAGATGGCCGTGG